ATGACCTGAACTTTTGCTCCCAATGAGATATGAAAGCCAATATATTTTTCTACAACTAAATTAAAATATACTTACTTCCCAAGTGCAAAACATTCCAGTGTTACGTTTTGCCCCAGGAGTGCATATGTATCCTTGAATTTAACCTTGATATCAGCTGGATATACTTTAGGTCCTAAGATTAAAAGAGATTCATAAACATAGCTGGTCACTGGCAGAAATTAACACATCAATTTTAACTTACATAGCTAAAGAAAATTTCTTAAAATTCTAGATGGAATTCTTCTTTACAATATGTGATACTGCACCCATTATCAATGAGGCCTGACTTAACACTGAGGCTGTGTCTACACTTCACCCCTTTTCTGGAAAAGGGATACAGATTAGACACTTTGGAATAGCAAAATCTGTGGGGGATTTAAATATCCCCTGTGGCATTTGCATTTACATGGCTGCCGCTTTTTTCCGGCTTGGGGATAAGCCGGAGAAAAGCGCCAGTCTAGACGTGATTCTCCGGAAAATAAGCCCTTTTCCGGAGGATCTCTTATTCCTACTCCAAAGATACAGAGCAGTTCTCCTGCTGTTTCATAGTCTGGGGTTAAGGGTAGATTCCTCCTCCGTCTTCTAGACCTGACTCAAGTTAGGCTGGCATAGGATCCACAGTTTGTCTATTAATGAATAAGTGGCATATATTGCTTAGTGGTATAACTGAGATAGTTATCCAGTAGTCCTAACGCCAATTAACATTTTTTTCTGTGCACAGTAATCACTCACGCATGAAGACATACCATGAGTGTTTATTCTAAGTCCTCTCTAAATGAGGAAATTCTGCAGTAATCATTCTATTACAACAGTAAATAAAGCTGCAACAGGAATCTAGTGTGTTCTTTAAAATTTCAAACGCTCGTTCACTAACTGCCTTAAGATTTATCTCAGAGCTAAAAAATACTGCAGTAAATGGGGGAAAAAAATCGACACAAACAGAACACTTAACAAATACTTACGGTCTGCCTGGGGAATAAGTGGAATGAATTTGCTGAAAACACTCTTCGTGATTGAAGGACTGGACACAAAACATGAATAATTGCCTTTATCTGATGCTTCTACATTTGCAATGTAGAGATTGCCATTTGTCTGTGACACAAACCGTCGTTTATCCAAAGTAATGAATACTGGGAACTCATTTAGAAGCCAGCGATAACTGAGATCATCTAGAGGCAAATATTTTCTAGTTAATATTTAGCAAAACCAGGAGTAATAGTATCAGCTGCTTGTACCAAATCAAGACACAGTATGTTATGTAGTATCCTCTATAGTGATGTGAAAGTCAGTGCCTTTTGCAGAGTAAACAATAAGGATGACTAAAAATTGGGGATCTGTAAAGCTAACCAGAAACCTAGAAAACCCATCTGTTTATGAATTGATTTACTTCCCTTTAATCAGCAATTTATTAGTTTGTATTTAAGATTATGGAGTCATGTAAGAAATAAGGACACATATCTCAGAGCAGCAAATTAAAGGAGTAAAAGTAATAAGGGATAAAATATGTTTGCCAGCTCATCAGAAAGTCAACTTAAATTCTTAAAAACAAAACATTAAAATCAAAATGTTGTACTGTCTGCTAAAAAGAGTAAGATGAACTAAGATGAATGTTTGAGAGATACTATCTATTTACTTTTGAAGTTCAAAATGCTCCATTTAATGTTCTGAAAAATATGAGGTGATATAAAACTAAACTAAAGATGGCTTCTATGAAAAATAAACCACATGGATTAAAAATAGAGACAATAGGTTAGGCCATGATTTTAAAGGTATTTAGGCATTGCTCCATTCAACGTTGTAATGCCTAACCTGGTTTAGGACCTTAAATCTCATATTTAAAAGTATCATATGTATTCAGGACTAGATTCCACAAAGGGGATTGCAAATGCGGTGTTGCAATGCCTAACTTTTAGGTGCATTGCGTAGAGGAGTCCCTAAATTATGTGCCCAGGCCATCAACAGAAAAAAATGGGGAGTTCCACTTTAGAACGCAATAGCTCAAGTGGTTAGAGTATTCACCAGGGATATAGGAGAGCTGGGTTCACAGTCCATGCTCCGCATGAAGCAGAGTGGGCAACTGAACCCATGCCTACTGGTTAAAAGAGACGGTACCATCACAGCCACCTCTCCCTCCTCTGGCAGCTGTGCTTTGTTCAGGCCTCAGTCCAGCAAGGGCACTATGACAGAATGTCGATCAGAGTACTGCAATTAAGGGTACTTCTACTTTGTGAATTATGTTGGGGCATTGGCATGATGTAGCCACTGGGTGTCAGGACTGCCATGGCTTTGTGTATGCCCACCAGGAGAAATGTAGGTGTCTAAGGAATGTAGGCACCTTACTGGCATAGATGGCAACTGAGCAGGGGTTCTGAGGAGCTAAAGTTTAGGTGCCTAAAGTGCCTGTGACAAACCTAAATCTCTTGGATTTGGCTTTTGGGACCCTAAGTCTCACTGAAAGTCAATGGGACTTAGGTTCCTCAGTGAGTTAGGCACCACAATACCTAATTACCTTTACAAATCTGGGACTTATGCCATTAGGGAGGAGATGAGAGAGAATTAACTTCTTCTGAGGTACCATCTCATCAGCTGACTCACTATAGGAACTGGCATTATAATCTGTTAATTTAGGTGCCTAATATTAGGCACCACAGTCCATAATTAGCTTATAGAATACGGCTATTTCTTCCTCCATGTATATACTCATTGTAGGATCACTTTTGGTAATGTGACATTATATACAGCAATCATTTATTGTATAAATAAAGTGTAACTATTTGAAGGAACGTAATTGTTTCGGTATTTCTTCAACAGATTTAATCAACGATTTGGCTATTAGGAAAATAAGAATTTTGCATGCTCTATATATCTTTCTTGAGGATGAATTCTCCATCAACTAGAGAATATCTATTATGGGGGAGTTAGCAATAATAGCAAGTTTCCTGAAAAGAAGCATAATTTTGCCCTCTAATACCCATTGTCTAACTACTATCTGAAAGCATTTGTTTGCAGAGCTAATTTAAATTTGCTTGCTTTCAAACCTTCAGCTGCAGCTTTTCATGTGGCAAGCTAAGGCTCAGAATTGGTAATTACTGCACCAAAATAAAGAGACTGAATAACATTTAATGTTAAATTCATGTCAAACTTGAATTAAACATTGTTAAATTGTATTAACAGACAGACATTTTAAGACCAATAAGAATAAAAGCTGTATTTTTCTTCTGTTTACATGATGTCAATATATAATGTTATTACAACAGTAAAAGAGATGATGTATAAAGTTAAAATGCAATGGCCAAATACTGTTCTCACTAAGGTACATAAATCTCTTGGATCTGGTCTTTGGGAGCCTATTGACTTCATGGGTACCAGGATGAAATTAAAATGATCATGTGAAATTTTTGGTTGCTGATTTTCCTGAATTTTTGGTTGCTAGGGTATCGACTGCATAAGATCAATTGGTCTTATCTTAGGTAGGTCTCTGGTGCCTTGGTGTAGTAGCTATGTACCTCAGTACCTAATATATTTATCCTCCCAGTAGGCCTGTGAAGCAGACAATTGCTATTACAGATGTGGAACTGAAGTGAGGCTAAGTAATTTTCCCAAGGTCACACAGGAAATCTGTGGTGGAGCAAGGAACTGACTCAGGCAATGGATGGTACTCCTTTCCAAATTCTAGAGAATCATGGAAATGGAGGACTGGAAGGGACCTCAATAGGTTTTCTAATCTAGTTCCCTATAATGAGGCAGGTCTAACTATTATTAGACATCCTTTGCCAGGTTTTCATCTAACTTGCTCTTAAGAACTTCCAGTGAAAGAGATTCCATAATCTTCTTAGGAAAAATATTTTATTTCTTTTCAGTTATATTATTTCTATTTTGAAAAACAGTTTGTAAATTCAAAAATTAATTTGTACCTTATTGTGGTCATTATGTATATAAAGCCTTAGAAATATACATTACAATATAATTTCAGCTTCTAATAGGCTTTCTTTATTGTTTATTGCATATTACTATATACATTTGTAATAGTTCAAAGGCAAATTGACAAGAAAAATCAGCCATGTGTTGTTTGCATTGTGCTTTTTTCTATTCTAGTTTATACTGTGGAAAATTTCTCCCTCTTCTTATACACTGTTCATCCATAAACATAAGGGCTACGTCTACATTGGCCCCTATTCCGTAATAGGGATGCTAATGTAGCACTTTGGAATAGGCAAATCCGCGGGGGATTTAAATATCCCCCGCGGGATTTGCATTTTCATGGCTGCCGCTTTTTTCCGGCTTGTAGATAAGCCAGAGAAAAGCGCCAGTCTGGACGCGATCCTCTGGAAAATAAGCTCTTTTCCGGAGGATTAACTTTTCATAGTGTATGTAAAGAGATTTTAACATTCTATGACTGTTATATCTTAATAGTCATAGCACAGAATGTCCACTCTAAAAATATTATGGAGATTAAAACAAGCTATTTACTTATGCAGTAATTCAAGTCATTGGAAAACTGCCATATTTACATATGTAGTCTGAAGTGAACCAATCTATTCACAGAATAAATGTCAAAGTCTGAAAATCTGCAAAAGCTAAGATTAAGGTTTGGATTTACTAATATGCTTGCAGAAAATCAGAATCTACATTTAATGCTTGTTCATTTCTTCTTGAACTAGCCAATTAGCCCGTCATAAGACAGGATTTTCAGGTCTTCTCTCCTGAGCTCTCTCACTCCGTCTCTCTCTCTCTCTCCTCTCCCTCTCAGCTCTCCTCCACCTCCTGCCTCTCTCTCCGTCTCTTTCTTTCTCTTCTCCCCCTACTGCCTTTCACTCTCCCTTTCACTTTTCCTCCTCCTCCTGCCTCTCTCTCTCCTTCATCTCTCCCCGCCCCCCTTCCCCTTCCCCTTCCCTCTCGCCATGGGCTTGGCTGAGTGCTGACTGCTCAGCCGGGCTGCTGCGAGGGAGGGGGGCAGGGCGGTGACATACAGGGCCAGGGGACGAGGGAGGGAAAATCACCACCGTCCCTTCCCCTCACCCCTGGGGGAGCCGAAACAGCCTCTTGCGCTCTGGCTCCCCTGGCGGCCCAGCTGAGGGGCGCAGCACTCAGCTGAGTGCCACAGCAGGAGGGGAAGGGGCCGGTGATGTACACGGCCCCACCCCCTGGCCATATATATCACCGCCCCGCCCTCCTTCCTGTCTCAAAAAGTCGCTTGCCGGCGCGTGC